ATTGTACAAGATAAAACGAGAAAAGTTTTGTTAGGAAAAAAAACAAGATTCTTCGCGAGTTATTAATTTTTGTTAGGTACGTGAGGTCATATATAATCAGATTTTGCGAATTTTGTAATTGCAAAATTGTGCAAAAATGATTCCGACTCGCGATTACACGTTGCGATAAACTCGACGAAATTTTAATATGTAGATTGAAGCACGGGCGTCTTTGCTATTCTCATCTTCGAAAGTCTTTCTTCTATCTTACGGCGCCTCCTCTTCCCTTATATCTTCGTCCGACGGTAGCGGTGGCACTTTCCGCTTTGTGGCCCTAAGATACACAGATACTTTGTAAAGGAGATGCATGTGTGTCAGTATCAACGGTAGCGTAGGTAGGTGGGTCGACGAAGAATGAAGGTTGGGTGTGAGCACTTGACGCAAGGAGTCCGATGTTGGTGTAGATCGTGGTGAGGTTCTCATGCTCAAAGGAACCTTCTACGAGACTCATTGAGTTTGCCACTCGGACTTCTCATCGCGTCACTGCACTCTACCGAATCTTCCTTAGTATAACTCGAGATAATGAATTTGCTTTATTTAATCACATTGCCCTTATTATAATGCAGTTTAGAAATCTTTTATACGATGGAACTTTTGTACATTGAAACTCCCGATGAATTTAGGAAGAGTATTATAACTTAATATTTTACGCAAATTATATTTACGCTGTTGAAAATTACAAGTTAAAAAGGGGTTTTTTTTAAATTAATATTTCTTGTAAATTCCTTTCGAACGTGATATTACGAAATAGCTAATGTTTCATCTCGCGCGGTCCACGACAAAGAGATTTAACTGCAAATAATATATTTGTTCGATGTGATATATTGAACTTTGCAGCGTTATGAAATATGAAGTTTGTGTAGTTTGTAATAAGTTATACATACGAGAATGTTGCGTTGCTGTATATCAGAGCTGCTTACAAGCGCGTAACGTTATCATGTTATTAAGTTGCTGTTGCTATGCTTCTCTCATGTTACAATCATGTATATTGTTATACATCTATTTTTAATATCGTTATACTCTTAATGGTTATTAAAAGTAATAGTTGGAATGAAATCTGTTACAGAGAAGTCTGGCCCGAGAATGACCACTTTGGAAAAGTGGACATACTTCCCGAGGAAGAGTTTCTGGCTCTTCACGAGATCTTTTTTGCAGACCTGGGCGGTGAGTGATTTTATTTTTAATTTTATATCCTTGGTAATGAACATTCAGCCCTGCTCAGCGCTGTTCTCAAGAACATTTAAATGAAAACTCGCGACATTATGCGGATTAACCGGATAGGAAACGAAACGTCGTGTATTGACAATTACCAGCGACTCGTCCGAAATGGATTTAAAACTTGGTACTTTGAGCGCACGGGTCGTTAGCACTTTTTGCTCTCCTGAGGACTGCCAGTACAACTTCAGTCTATCGAGAAACTTATATCCTCTCTGCATACATAACCCTGTGAGAAAAGAGTAGCTCCTGCTTTGCGTCCGCCTAATTATAAAGAGCAAAGTCTGTTATTAAGTTAAAGCATGGAAGTAATGAGCTGTTTTCCTTCCTTCACGAGAGTTCGTTACGACTGCTGATTTATTGAATTATAAAGTTTACTCAACATTTTGGAAGAAAAACGTGAACATACACGAAAGTACTAATGTCCGTGCATTTTTTTTTGTATATTTTCCGCGAAGAAAGCATCAGAGGAGAAGAAAGATATATTAAATTACATGAATTCATTTGAGGCACGTTACCCTTGCAGAGACGATTTGTAATAACTGGCGCATATATCACGACACAAATTTAATTAAACGCGCCGTTGGTATTCATTTCACGCGCCTAATTTATGTGTGAATAACTACGCTATTCAGTGCCGAGATTTCGCGACGATCCGAGCTCGCCACGTATTTATCTCTGTTCATTACCAGCACAATAATAGCTACACAATAATGGACATTTTAAATCTTTTAATTTTAATGTTACGCTTTTACAAACTAGAGCTTAGTAGAAAAAGGTAATATCATTGTGTTAAAAAATTTTTTTATCAATCTAATCAACGTAACCAATTTTTTTTCTACAAAAATTGTCATTTCTATTAAACATGTACGAATTGAAGTACGCAAAACGCGACAGATCGGTATCTCTTTTTTATAATGAAAATTTTAGGAGATCGCGATTCAAGTAAAAATGACAGATTTTTGAATAAAATTCATAACGAAGATTGATATTTTTCAATATTTAAAATTTCCCTTAAATTTTCGAGATGCTCGTTTGACTCGTATACAATACCAACTAAAATAGATATTTATGCGAACTAGATAGTTCATTATTTTTGATATTAAAATGTTATATGTGGTTTCGTAAAATGACCTACACTGACCATTGTTTTTATTTAAAAACTACATATAATTGGTTTTAAACTGCCGGCGATATTAAATCTATCTGTGAGTTAAAATGTTCTATCCAAACATTCGAGCCTAAGATTTTACCGAAAGAAGTAAAGGAGACAATAATATTAATGAGACAAATTTTTAATACTCACTCAATAAAAATATAATGCAAACAACTTTAATACAAATACATTGTTTGACTCTTATACAGTATCGATTAGATATTTACATCACGAGCATACCTAGTCTCGTTACACGCTACGCGTTCGACTTCCTTCCGCCGCACGTTTATCCCTCGCCACGAATGTCAGTGCAGTAAAGAACGTTTACGATCGCATAAATTACGATCTGTTGCATTGAATTCCACAACTTACGACATGACAGTACTGTCATGCGCACCTCATTCTGTAGATGGCAACGGGCTGACAAAGTCGTTAAATGTTAATCTCGCTCTTTATATCCTGCCAACGTACCGTAGTCGTCGTACAGTATTCACCGGGGGTGTTTTATATAAAACATCAGCGCCGACATCCAGACTGTTTTATTTTACGACGTGAGTACGTCTGAAACACTCCTCCATTATCTCCACCACGCGTCAGAATCTCGCGCGCAATCTTTACGCGTTAACCGGTTACTTTTGCTCTCCTCTCTTTCTGCAAGGACATGACTTTCGAGAAGGGCGAGATCTTATTTTTTATTTATTCTCTCCAAGTGCACTTTAGTGCACTGCGACAGAATCACTCACATAAATGGCTAATGTTAAAAAATTGAAGATTTACGAGTTATGGCGACCATTTCAGAGATTAAATGCGCCAAAGAATAATTTATCTTAAGATCGTCAAAGCACTCGCGGAGACAAACTGTAGCTCGCCAAGTCTCTCCCGAGGAGTCTTAGCATTCCCATTCAATTGCTTCCATCCCGCGATACGTACGAAAATATCGCCTTTGATATTATTATAATGATATTCGCATCTGTCAGCACGAGCGATTCGTATGGCAACGAAAGAAATTAATTCTGTAAATAGAGACAAGTATATTTCGGTGTCTGGTGCATTGTATGGATTTTGTCGCGGGGAAGCGGAATCAGTCGATCCCGAGGCTTTGGCTTCGTCGATTGAAGTTGTTTTTCCGCTTCGGCTGCCTCGGCACACACTTTATGCATCCGGATGGTTGTACTTGACGACTCAGCCATATTCCGATGGTTTCGCACACGCTGTATATAATAGGATATCTGTTTCGCGTTGATAAAGCGTACCGCGGAAATTGGCGGGTGATTCGCGAGACGAGGCTTTTCCTAGCTTACATTTCGACGAGAACCGCCGGAATAACGTTTAATCTGTACAATACATACGCGCAATTGTTATTATCGTCATCGTAATTTCTATGTCGGTCTCACAACTTAAAATCACAGATTTGTTTTTGCTAATCACAGTTGCCTGACCTTTGAATCCGTAAACGACTAATCAGTCTTGGCCGAGGGGGAAACCGCTGACCCAAGTCTTGTACACCAATGCCCACTAATGCCCAGTGGGCATTACTTTATCTTATTATCTTATTTTATCTTTACAATGCCTCAGCAAAGCCTAATGCCCAAAAAATGCCTAGCAATGCCCAGTAATGCCGCAAATCTGTACACCACAATGCCCTCAGCGGTTTTCCCCTCGATCTTGGCCGTATATTTCTTGGCCCCGGACGTTCGTCCAATCTCACAGTTGCTCTGAACCCAGAAATTTGTTCTACTGGGATGCTCTTTTATTTGTAATTGACTTGGCTCCGTAACAAGGTATGCCAAAATGAACCGTTCTACGATTCACTACAAGGAATTTATACTTCTCGCGTGATGTACAATACTTACTCTTAGATCTCACTTGACAAGGACCTAAACCAAAGGTCGGAACGTCGTGAAAGCTATATTAATAAATGGGGCCAGCTGAGGTCGAATGGAATTTGGAAGTTTTATTATTAATACTGGCAGTTTGAGGAAACTAACTTAAAATCACAACTTAAAGTGATGATTCGCAAAGTCTTATCTTATCTATTCTCTTGTTTTGAAATTGTGCGCAACGAAAATAACGACAAGATATCTGCACAATTGTGACCGTAGTATCTTCGCGTGTTCGTGTGACAACTTGAACATCGAGAAGCTTTTCGAGCAAACTGTCCTTTAGATTTATTAATGATTCGAGAAGAAAATAGCTTTACGATAACTTGGTAAAGGAGGTCAGAGAGGTCAGATCGGGAGAGGAACAAACGATTATTTGTCATCCGTGACAGGGATACTTCATCAACAGCATTTATAAATAATCGCGATCAATATCGGAGGGGTTTCGTAGCATACCGGAAGGCTTTATTTATTCATGTCTGTCTGCGAGTAGAACGGCACTGCTGCCATGTATAAAGTATACGTTTCATCGGCTTGCCTCGGTACGAAGTATGAGAATAGGGAGCAGAGGAAGATGTGCTGTACTTGGGCACGATTTTTCTCTTCTCTTCGCTCGATTCCAACTTGTTAGACTGAATGGGTGATGGATGCTCGCGTGTAGTCGACCCGCGCGTTCTTTTCTCCTCGAAGTCGAAGGTTTGATGAATGACGGTCGAATTGAAAAGTCTTGGCGGAACGTTTGAAGCGCAGCGACGAAATTTGCATGCCACGGTTGTACGAGCGATCCTTCCTTCGCGTCCGCTCCATTTGTACACGTTTGGTTAACTAACGCATTTCACCAAAGAAACTCGATCTCGTTGTATCGATACTCATGATGTTCTCGATGTTGATCACCGGTGAAATTAGTTCTTAATGCAACGCGTCGCTGTAAAATCAACTTGAACGTAAACGTCGTCGTTTAATTTACGTCTCCAAGTCCTTTTTCCGCTGATAAAAATGCGTACGACGAGTAGGATGAGGATCCACGTGAGTTCCCATATTTCGAACACTCGGGTAGCTCCATAGATCTTTCCACTGTCTCCACTCATCGAGTTTGTACCGCCGTAATAACTTTCCTTATTTACCGTAATGCGGCAGAAAGTCATCTCTGACATTTCCTGGAAAAGTACCGTGTACCTAAAATACGTAGATTGGAGGCGCCGGATCTCGGCTGTATGTCGAGGAAGAGAAGAAGTGGCTTCGAGAGGTATGAAAGAACTTTTATCGGGGTGGAAACTTCGTCTTCCTTCCGAGCGGCGTGAAGCCATAGGAACGAACGAGAATTATTTAGTACAAGACGCAGAGTAAACAACAGATGTACTACCAACATTTGTTCCGAGTTTTATTCTTTTTCGCGCAACTTCTGAAGCGAACCCTCTGACGATTCTCCTCTTCTACGTTCGGTAGAATGAAGATGTTATCGGAAAATATGCATTATTCGCAATCAGCTTGCACTTGGCGCTGTGTTGCGTACGGATTGTAGGAATTGAAGTTAACGAGCAATAGCGGGGTTGGCGTTTAGAGCGTAAATCCCTACAGTTCTGAACCCTTTACAGCGCGCTAAGCTCGATTGATTATTTCGCTTCTTTTTTCGTATCGCGGTATTATCCCCTTTACCTTGCCATAGCGACGCGAGTGAACGGTAATCAGATCGAAAGCGACGTTCCGGGGAATTTGAAGCAAAGCGAGGGCTGAAATTTACATCCCGTGCTTGCTCGAGCGATCGCTGCCATATGTTTGCATTCTCGTAGCGTCCTTCCTCCTCCCCGGACATCGGTCCTTGAGGTAATTCCGGCAGAATCGCTGCCCACGTTCGCTTTCCTCAATCAAATTGCGATGCACTGTATTACCTTGCGCGACTTCCAGCCAACGTA